CCCAGGGGTGGAAATATGAAGCCCCAGGGGTGCAAATATAAAGTTCAAGGGTGGAAATATAAAGTCCCGGGGTGGCAATGATGTCCCAGGGGTGGAAATCTAAAGTACCAGGAGTGGAAATATAAAGTCCCAGGGGTGGAAATAAAGTCTCAGGGGTGGAAATATAAAATCCCAGGGGTGGAAATAAAGTCTCAAGGGTGGAAATATGAAGTCCCAGGGGTGCAAATATGAAGTCCAGGGGTGGAAATCTAAAGTCCAGGGGTGCACAGAGTCCTAGGCGTGGAAATAGAGTTCCAGGGGTGCAAATAGAGTCCCAGCGGTGGAAATGGAGTCGCAGGGGTACAAATTTAAAGTCCCAGAGGTGGAAATAAAGTCTTAGGGGTATAAACATGAAGCCCCAGGGGTAGGAATGGATCCCCGGGGGTGCGAATGGAGCCCCACCACCGGGCATCATCGCGGTTTTGAGCGCTGGGCAGAAGCGCGGCGGGGGGTTGGGGGTTGCTTTGTCACCCAAAAGTTAAAAATGGTCGCGCTGAATTCAGCGCTGGAGCTTTCCATCCCGCTTTCCATCCCTGCTCGCCGGGAAGCGCCTGCTTTTGTCACCAGCACCTTGCCTTCGCGCGCTGCCTCCTCCTCTCCTCGGGCTCCTCCGCTGTTCTCCCACGGATCCCAAAGCCTGGAGACGCGCCAGCAGCCGGGGAAGTGCCGGGGATGCAGAGGTGGAGAGACCCGTTGTGTCGGCTGACGCTGTCGCTTCTGTCGCCTTCTAGGCATGGAGCGGTCAAGAGCGAGGACACCTTCAAGACCTCCCCCTTCCATTTCGACCTCTGGTTCTACTTCACCCTGCAGAACTGGGTGCTGGACTTCGGGCGTCCCATCGCCATGGTGAGTGTGGCGGAGGTTGGCGCGCTGCTCTCCTCGCGGTCGGCCGGTTTGGGGTGGCGGGTCCCCTGCAGACCCCTTGGGCTGTTTGCTGCACCAAAGGGACATCTCGGAGGAGCCGTCCTTGAGACGAGCACCGCTGCCGTGTACTGGTGTGAGTAACTGGTACCAGCTGCTTCGGTCTTGCTTCACTCACAGGGAAAGTGTCTGAGAAACTTGGGTCAACATCAGAAGAACTTTTTCCCTCTGAGGGTGCCGGAGCCCTGGCCCAGGCTGCCCAGGGAGGCTGTGGAGTCTCCTTCTCTGGAGATATTCCAGCCCCACCTGGCCGCGGTGCTGTGCACTGCTTGGGCAGGGGGGTTGGACTAGATGACCCACAGAGGTCCCTTCCAACCCCGACCATACTGGGATTCTGTGATCATCTCTCCCACAACTTTACATTTTCATACCAAAAGTTACCTGGGGAGGTTCCTCCTGCTCTTCCCCGTGCCTTGCCTGCATCTCCGGAGCGTGGGGCTCCTGCTCTCCAGACGGTGCAGGGCAGAAGTGGCCGCTGCCCTGAAAAACAGGTTTTTCTCACTGGCACCTGCACGTGGCAGAGGGTTAACGGAGATCCGCTGCTGCGCGACTCCCGAACGCCTTCCTCACTCGCTCGGCCCCGCAGCGGCACGGCGTTGGCTTCGGGCAGCGTAAATACGACGTGCCGTGAGCACCCGCGTCCGAGCACGCTTTTAGGGGTGCTGCCTGCGAGCAGAGCTGCCCAGCTTCCTGACTAACCGCGACGCGAGGGCAAGCCAACAATTCACAAGCAGTGGGGGTCCAGAGCAAGGGTTTTCTCTCTCCCTGCCTTTCAGCCGGTGGCAGGGCTGTAAGCGCAAGCTGCGTGGTGAGGATGCACTGACGTGCTCTTGGTTGTTTTTTTTTTCTCCCCTCCTCAGATAATCCTGCCTTTGGAGTGGTTTCCTCTAAACAAACCGAGTGCTGGAGATTATTTCCACATGGCTTACAATGTTATCACGCCCTTTCTTCTGCTAAAGGTAAACCTCGAGGTGCAGGTGTTAGATTTTTTTTTGTTTTTAATATTACCGGTTTTAAAAACAGGGCAAACAACCCAGTTCTGTAAAGGCTGAGAGTTCGTCAGCAACTCGCTGAGCGAATGTTGGTTATTCACAGGCTCCTGCAAGTGAGCCAGCCCTGCTGCGCGGTGGGGGTTTGCTGCTCCGGGAGGAGTTTGCGATGCCGCCTTCCCAGGAGCCAGGCAGCGACCCTCTTACTGCAGCTCCCTTCCCCCACTCCTGCCGGGGGCTCCCGATTCGGGGGGAGTCAGAGCCCTTCACCCTGGCCGAGCCAAAGCGTGTTGTGAAGACAAAATCCACCCGTGACTCGAAGGACCTGATGAGACAGCTGGAGCTGTTGTAGATTTTCTGAATTGTTCACTGCTTAATTGCACTTGCTCTTCACCATTAGAATTGTGTCTTTAGCTTGAATTTATCTAGCTTCAGCTGGCAGCCACTGGATCCTCTAAACCATTTGTGAGGTTAAAGACTGTCATATTGTTAGAAATCTTCTATTAAATACTTAGCTGCCAGAAGATAGGAGAAAGCAATTATAAATATATTTTAACCTTCATTAGCTAGAAATTGAATTATGCCCCAAGATGTAAATGATTCTCTCTCTCCTGAGTCTGTCTGGGAGATTTTAAATGCCGGTGTGGTCAAAAGGGAATATTCAGGACCTGGTGCTCTGGGGGATGTGAAAGCTCTGAAGCTGGGTCTGACCCATCACGCAGCTGGTGTCTGCAGGCTGGCTACTCGTCGGGTTAAAATTCACCATCTTGGACATCCCTGGCAGGACAGCGTGAAGGGTTGGTCCACAGAAAAAATCCATTTGTTATTCAGGGCGCATTTCTTTTGCCCAGCGTCCCCTCGAAGGACGTGTCCCACCGTCCTTCTCCAGCAGACGAGAGCTTTCCTGGGCCTTCTGCGCTCCTCATCCTCTCTGCCTCCTGTGATGTTCACACAGCGGTTACAGAGAAGCCTCAAAATTAAACACAAATAAGGAGCTTTTCAGTGTTTCTGAAGGGGTGCAAAGCTGATTTGGCAGCAGGGATTCAGGTGGCGAAGGTGGCCCCAGCTGATCCTCGGGCTGGGCTGACGCCTCCGCCCCGACGCACGCTTCCCGAGGCCGGCTTGGCGTCCCCTCCGACGCCTGGACCGCTTCAGCTGGGAGTTACGTCCTCCGAGGTCTTCTCAGTTTTCCCAGCCGAGCGGGGAGCTCCGTTTTGGGGAGCAGCTCCTGCTCTGGGTCCCCAGCCCGGAGCAACCCCGGGCTCCCCACCAGCCTCGCCCCCCTGCACCCAGACCTCGGCGGAGTGCGAGGTGGGACCGGGAGAGCTCGTCACTGAAGCTGGCGTGCGAAAGGCTGCCTCGACCGGTTTAGCTGGTAATTAGATATTTCTAGATACGGGTTTGAGTGCGGCTTCCACTTTAGAAGCAAACACAGAGAGAGGTGGGAC